CCTCACAAAACACTGTTTTTTTTTGCAAGCGCAGGCTTCCTAAAACCAAACAGTCCTCAGCAGATTTTTGTGCTGTTTTGCCCTCTAAACTACTTTTCTCAGTTACATAAAACTGCAAACTGTAATCCGAAGGCTTTGCAGGCTGGCATTTCAATCTCCTCTGAGAGTTTAGGAGGAAATAACTCGATTTGGTCCTCTTTCTCACTTTCTGTATGGTGCCTGCCAAATGAAACATTCTGCCGGACTGCTTGGTTCCACGGTACCCCCTTTCAGAGCAATGTGGCTGAGGCTGAGTTGGTTTTTTGGCTTTAAACATTTTATCTACCCACCTGGGCGTGCTGTGCTTTGCTGTAACAATAACGCTGATCTAAGAGTCTCCCAAAAGATACTTTCAGTTGAGTTTCTGTTTGCAAACCAACAATCACACGACATAAAACATCACTAAAAGGGTGCCCACAGTGGGAGGTCGGGGGCGATGACCAGGCTTTGGGGGCGGCGGATGGCAGAGTGGTAACGCTGGACAGCGGCCATGGAAGTTCTACTGGACACCTTTACTCAAAAGCACCTGACTACACAGCTAGTTAGCTTTATGGTCTATAAATTACACCAAAATAAAGCTGTTTAAAGATACGCCCAGGATTCACAATCGAGATTTTTTTCAGGTTTTGAGTGCTATTCAAATTAACATGAAAAGTATTCATTTTTCCCTCAGCTGCAAAGTTACGGTATTCGGGGGGCAAATCAGCCTTCTCCTGAGGCGGCTTCTCGGCTTCTGCACCGCTGTCTCAGGGGTCGGGTCCCCGCGGCGGCCCGCGCCGCGGGACGGTCACCCACACCCCGGGCCTGTTCACCGGCTGCCACCAGGGCCGCCTCCCGGCCCCCCACCGTTACAACGGCCGAAACATCCCCCGGGGGGCGCAAGAGCTCCCGGGTAAGAGCCGCCGCTCCAGATGCCGGAACAGCGAGCTGCTCCCAGGGGGGCGGACAAACGCAGGCAGAGGCTTCCCGCGCTCCCCGCAACTTCGAGGCTGGCCCTCGGCCCCCTCTGCTGCGGCCGGCCACCCCCAACGCAGGGCGCCTTCCCTCTCACAGCAGCACCTCTGCCTGTGCGGGCGTTTCACACCCAGGGCCCCTTCTAGATGATAAACCATTATTTTTTAAATGAAGGCTAATTTTCTGGTTCTGTGCCCACGTAGGTCTCTCAAGTATGGCTCTCAGCCTGGAATCCCATCCAGTGCGTCCTCTGTAACTGCTTGGCGGCCCGACTGGGACCCTGAGCACAGCATCAAGCAATTTCTTTTCTTCTTTTTAGTAATTTTTAGTGGAGTACTTTGGGTTTACAGTGTTGCATCAGTTCAGGCGTACGCAGATGTGAATCAGTTACACATAAACATATACCCACTCTTCCTTAGAGTCTTCTCCCGTGTCAGGAATCACAGATTTTTGAGGACGGTTTCCTGTGCTTATCTGATACACAGCAGTGTCAACCTCAACTCCCAGTTTATGCCCCCCACCTCTTTCTCTCCTGGAAGCATAAGTTTGTTTTCCATATCTGAAACTATTTCTGTTTCAGCACTAGGCAGGTTCATTTCACCAGTGTGGACCCAATAGTCTAAGGTTCCAGAAACATTCTGGGACCTACTGTCTTTGAACTCCAAGGCTGAAGTCATGGTCTCCCTCTTAGAGATGAAGCAAGCCAGGTTCAGAGGGAAACTCTGTGACCTGTGCCCAAGGCCACACACGCGGCAGAAGTGAGACAGGAGGCTAAGTCCCGCGTTCCTTCTCGACTCCCACGTTTCCAGGGTACCCTACTCTGAGCTGCTCAGAGGATGCACCATGGACCACACACCTGCTGGTCCTCAGACACCGGAGCCCATCTGAAGTCCTCAGTGTCGCCCTGTGAGGGGGGGCTTCCAGGCCCGCGCTGTGGACAAGGAACTGGAGAGTGAGGTAAAGTCATGTCCAAGGTCATGCAGTAGGGCCTGAAATGTGAGCTCAGAGGACTCTCGCCCACCACCCCCTCCAGCCTCCTCTCGTCGAGAAATGGCCTATTTCCCCAGGAGGACTCAGGTAATGGTTTTGGTTTTCCAGTACATAAATTACACTCTCATTCAAACAGATGTGGATTTGGGCTCCTTGTAACTTACTTGGGGCTCCTTCTATATCACTAAAAATCTAGTCCTATGCACATCTATGAGAGCCCTGGAAATGCCCTATGTGAAAAATTGCCAATTCCCTCCACCCAGCTGTGGTCAGGCTACAATTTCACCACTACTGGTCTTCTAGCAGTTAATCATCTCGGTTTTTTCTAGTTCATTCAGCCAGTCAATAACCACATCACTTAGGATCTATCCACAGTGACAAACACATTACCAAATAATCACACAATTAAAAGTCAAGATAAAAGCACCAAGAAGAAAAAATAAGTACAGAGGGGGTTCTGAAAATTTAGAACGGGAAGGCTGAATAGGGTTGTAAATGTGATGCAAGGAATCTGACATTTGCAGGAAGAGCTGGGAGTTCACTTGAAGGTGAGGGAAGAGGAGCTTTCAGTCCTGGTGAACAGTACATGCAAAGGCCCTGAGGCAGAAGGGAACCTAGGATGCATGACCCTGAAAGGGGGCCAGAGACAGCAATGGCCAGCCCACACATGGTCTTTCAGTAAAGAAAAATTAAGGGTCAGTAGGGACAGAATATGGTCAGATCTACACTTTCAATGATCGCTCTACCTGGGTCACCTGAGTGATCTGGGCCAGGACACAGTTCAAAGAACTCTACTCTGGATCCTGCAAAACAAGTTTGTTTGTTTCTTTTTTTTTTTTTTTCTCTCCAGGGTGTGATGCCCCTCCCTGGCTAGGAACTAGCTCCCTTCTTTTTCTGTTAGTTTGTGAAGTTTAAAGGCCAGATCTTTTATCAGGTCTGAGGCCTGTTTTCTTTCAATAGCTCCAACCGCATCTCCCCTCCCCAGGAACGTACTTGTCTCTTTCCAGAGAGATGTCACTTTTGCCAAGGGCCAATCAGTGACAGAAGATAGGGGAATCTGTCCTTTGGGGTTTTCTTACAAAAAAGGCACAGGCAAGCTCAGAAAGAAACACAGATGCTGGTCTGCACCTCCTCACACTCAAGCGCAGTTAAAAAACAAACAAACAAACAAAAATCCCAAAATAACATTAAGATCTCTGGCCTCCCTCCTGGCCACACACACACCTCCCCACCAACCTGGGCCCCGGTCAGTGCGCTCGAGGTCCTGCTGGCCCAGCTCCAAGCTGTCATAACTACTTTCAGTTTCTCCACTACAAAAAGCTGCAGCTCATCCCACCCTGCACCGCTAAGAGTCCTTAGCACCCACTGACACTTCCTCCAGGAAGCTTTCCTCCCGACCCCTGCTCCAGTCGGTGAAGGCCCTGCTAGGAGTGCCAACAGAATTCTAGGAAGGCAGGTTTTCTGAGATTCGCTGTAACTGGCTCACCCACCACTTGCACACAAAGCCGTGCCCACATCTGGCCAGTAGCCCCAGAAGGACACATTCTGGATGTCACTGTCCCAGCGTCTAGCACAATGCCTGGCACCCCGATAGGAATCCCTCTGACACTGAATGAATGAATGAGCAAATAGATATGGACTTGCAGCCTCCCAGGAGCAAGAAGAGAGACCTTCTATGACAGAGGTTTTCCCTTCCAATAGGTTTGGTTGTCAATGTGAATGTAAAACACTCAAGTTACAAACTTTAGAATGGGTGCTAATTTCACTCCAAGGACATTTGAAAGGATTAAAAACATGAATGCAGGGCACAGATGCGCAAGGGTTTTAGACAGGACCAAAACTTCAGGCAAGTTAGGGTGGCAGCAGGGTGAGAAGGAACCCGATAAAGAACCAGACCAGAAACACGGAGCGGACAGGCGCCGGGCCGAGCGCCTCTGGTTCCGAACCCGCGGCCGCCGGGTACCTGGGCCCGTTCCGGCCCGGCGCAGATCTGCCTTGCGCCCGCGGCTCCCCTGCCTTTTTCTGACCCATCTACGCGCCTGGCAGTCAACCCCCGGGCCCTTCTAAGAAGCACTCTCCCCACTCGATAACTTTTGCACTCCTCCAGAAACACCAGTCATGGAGCACCACTGTCTCCCAGTTTCCGGAATCCGACACCGTCCCGGGTGGCACTGAGGTTGCCCCTCGGGATGCGGCCTGTGACCCGCCCAGCATCACATCACCTGAGAGCAGCCTCAGCCTCGTCCCAGCCCTTCGGACACCGAGTCAGTGTGGAAGCGGCTCCCGGGAGACGCCTGTGCGCACTCAAGTCTGAGTGGATGCTACACCGGCCGACAGACCTTTACTGAACCGGGCAGGGTCTACACAGGGCGTGAGCGGCGCGGAGGGGAGCGCACCCAGGAGCCGAGAAGCCCCAGCAGACGCTGAAGCCGCCTGGCCGGGGGTCGCGCGCGCGGGGTCACCGACCCCGCGCGCCCGGCCTGGCCGAGTCTGCGGGGGGCGCAAGGCCGGGGGGCGCCCGTCCCCGCCCCGCCGTCACCCGGTCCAAGCCGAGCTGACAACGGCCCCCCGGTGGCGCCGCGTCCGGCCGGGCAGCGGGGCCGGGGGTGCTGTTTACAGCCGAGAGCCGGGGCGGCGTCCCAGCGGCACCGGTAACAGCACGGGGCGCCCGGCCGCCCGCCGCGCAGCGCCCCGGGCCCCCACGGCCGCGCCCCCGCCCCGCTTGCCCCGAGTCCGGGGTCGCGCCCCCGCTTCCACCCAGCTCCGCCTAGCGGGGACGAGGGCCGAGGGGGGCGCGCAGGTCCCCGAGAGGGGCTCCCTGGGACCCGCTCCGCTCCCGGAAGGCGCCTCCGGCGAGCTCCTACAGAGCAGCAGCGCCCCAGGGCAGCGCGGGCGCGGAGCAACGCCTGCGGGTGGAGGTGGGGGGGAGTCCTCTCGGGGTTAGCGCCCCCCGACGGGGCTCGGCCCGGGACGGCTCTCCGGCTCGGGGGCGGGCGAGGGCCGGGCGGCGCGCCTACCTTGCAGGCGGAGTACACCCCGAGTTTCTCCAGCTTCTTGGCCCGCGGGGCGGAGCGCAGCTGCGCCTTCTTCACGGCGATCCGGGCCGAGCCGCCGCCGCCCGGGCCCTCGGTCGCGCCCGCCGCCGCCCCCGCCGCGGCCGGCCCGCAGGAGCCCGCGCCCCCGGCCGCCGCGCCCGGGGGGCCCTGCGGGGGTGCGGGAGGCAGCGGGAGCGCCCCCGGCGCGGGCCCGCCCGCCTCCGACATGCCGGCCCGGAGCGCAGCAGGCGCCGCGAGTCGGGGCCGGGGCCGCCGCCAGGGTCTCCGCCCGGCTCTGGGCGCCGGAGCGCGGGACCTCTGCCCGCCGCCCGCCGCCGCCCGCCGCGCGCCGAGGCCGCAGCTGCTCGCGGAGGGAGGGGCCGGCGCCGCCCGCCGCCCGCCCGGGCCTCCTCCCCGCGGGTCTCCCCGCCCGCCCGGGCGCTCCTCCCCGCCTCCCCCCGCCACGGCCCCGCGCTCCTCCCAGCCCGCCCGGGCGCTCCTCCTCCCGGCCCCGCGCTCCTCCCCGTTCCTCCCCGCGCTCCTCCCCCGGCCCTTCCCCCCTCCCCCACGGCCTGCCCGCCCCCGCGCCCCAGACCCGCGCCCGCCGGGGGCAAGGCCCGCCGGGGGGTTGGAGGGGGTGGAGAGAGAGGGGGCCCCCGGGCACCTGCCGGCCACCCCCTCTCCAAGCCGTCCCCGCGGGGACACAGGCGGGAGAGACGCGGCCCGTCCGTCCCTCGGCTCCAGTCCACCCTCCCTCGGAGCCGGGCAACTTCCTCCACCCTAGCGGGAGCCCGAGAAAAAAAAAAAAAACATTTTTGAAAAGTACCAGTCCACGCTAATCCTTTTCTTTGTTGCTAATTCACCAAAATAAAGGCGTGATGTTTTGCGTGTCTCTTTGCAGTTCCTTTGCCTTCCCCGGTCTCTCTTTTAATTCAGAAAGCTTCCAGCCTATAAGCGATCTCTGGATCCCATCCGGCAGAGAAAGGGAAAGACGGTTAATCGGTATTTTCTAACATTTTTGTTCGGAAGGGCTGGTTGTGGAAAGAACGGTCGTCCAAGAAACGCCGTGCATATGAAAACTAAACGCAGGGGGAGAAGTTGGCTGCTCGGGCTCATCTCTGCAGGTGGGGGTTAGAACCGTACTCCTTTCTAGATCCTTCTTTCCTGTAATGTTTCACAGTTTTCAGAATTGATATCACCAGCATGCGTATTAACCATGAAAACAATTAGGCAGCATCCAAAAGAATGTGTTGATTCTGGCCTCAAACTTAAAAAAAAAAAAAAGAAAAGCTCAACTCAGCGTTTTCAATTTTGTTGAGACTGTTGCAGACTACCGGTCTCATTGTTGATGACAAGGAGGGTGGTGGTTAGTAATTCGGAGAATACGTTTCAGTTTTTTTCATTTGAAAGTTGTGCACTTTTGGTCGGCCTTTCCGAAGCAGCTTTTGAAAGCCCAGCGCTATATTTCAAGACCCTCCACAAGTGTCCTGCTTTTGTAACGGTCATAATTTTTACATAATATGGGCTATTAATGTGCGTGTTATCAAATTCTTTGCATACTTTATAGCTCTCGCCCAACTCCAGCCAGAACGCGTGCAGGAATGTGCTTTTCCCTGGAATTATTCCCTTTCCCATCCCATTTTCTTCCAGTTAATTTTCTCTAGCCTTTTTCTAGGTTCTCTGTGTTCTTTCTACTTTTAATACAGAGTGATATATAAAAATGAACTCTTTTTTTTCTAAGTTAGTAAATCCAGTGACATTAGACAGCACAAAAGGAAAGGGCCCCTCCCCACTTGAGCCCCAGCTGAAGGCCTGAAATGGTAGACTTGAGTTCCATCAGGACCGTCTCAGCAGGATGTCTTAAAGGCTGCAGGAACAGAGTCCATGAGCAAAGTCCAACATCAAGATGTCAGCAGATATTGAGAGGGGCTTAGGTTCCACGTGGCGGCATTTGTCAAACTGATAGTCCCCTTGAGATCTGTGCGTTTCACTGGATAAAAATATCCTTCATATATTTAAAAAATTATAAATATTTTTAAAGAAATTTAAAACTCATAAATGTTAAAGTCTAGTTGGTGGTTCTCCTGCTGAAAGTTTAGGGACTCAGCGTCCTGATATACATGGTGTGCTTTAAGAATCATTTTAAAAAAGATGGATTGATCCATCTGTGAAGGGACAAGCAGGCAGATGAACAGATAGTTATATATGATCAAACCAGTAGAGCGGAATGTTGAATCTAGACGGTAGGTATATGGGTGTTCACTGCAATTTTTAAATCTTCTCTGTACGTTTGAAATTTTCATCATAAAATAGTGGGGGGAACCCAGCATCAATATTAACTTGCCCATCATCTCTCCCTCCCGAGCTGTCCCCAGAATGCAGGAGGCAGGCTATTTCCAGGATGTTTTGGAGCAGAAGAAAATAACCTCATTTCGGCCTACCCTGAAAACCATCACTGTCGGAATGGTGAATCACTTGTGACATCCACTGAACATTATTTTTCATTATTTCCCCTGCTCAGAACGCCCAGATGACATTCTGCCTTAGGCTGAAGGCCCATAGTGTCAAGGCCTGCTTCAAAATGTGTTGTAAGCACCAGGCAGGGACAGTTCAAGGGCAAAGGATCCAGGAGGCTTGTTGCATCTACATAATCAGGCTCTGTGAGCATTTAGGAAGCACCCAGGTGCTGTCCTTTTATGAAGTGAGCACCAAGAAAATAAAAGGTAAGGTTTTCAATTAGAAAGAATTCACAACTGTGGAAGGACGACGGTCTAAAATGGAAATCGCACGCCTGGGGCCCTGAAAAGAGAGAAATGTTGAACTTAAGAATTGAGCCAGGGATTCGCCAGAAAGGCTGGTCCTGCAAACGGCCCGCCTTGCTTCCTGACCAGAGTCTCAGCGGTCCTCCAGCCGACAGCCCCGGTGGACTGCGCCCCGCGCCCCGCTTCCCGCCCCCCCACTACAGCCCCTCCGCCCAACTCACTTGCCTGTACCCGTAGCCTCCTGGGATCTGCATTTCCTCAAACTGCAGTTCCTATTCTATTTCCACGTAATCTCAGTTTCTGGTAGTTCTAGCTTGCCTCAGTTTACCTCTGTATTTAGTTTGACACGACTTGCTGAAGGAAGAAAACCACAATTAGGAAAGAAAAGGCTTGGAGAAAAGGAACTGAGGGAGCAGGTCTCCAGCTGGAAATGACTTCTGGCTTAAAAATACTGTAGAATAATGTGCAGCTGTCCCGAGTGACCTTTACACAAGAACAAGCAAGTGAAAGTGAAGTGAAGTCGTCAGGCCTGTCCGACTCTTTGCAAGCCCATGGACTGTAGCCCACCACGCTCCTCCATCCATGGAATTTTCCAGGCACAAGTACTGCAGTGGGTTGCCATTTCCTTCTCATACAAGGGTAATAGCATAGGTAAATCTCCAGAAATACTGCTGAATGAACTCTGTACAGGATAATACCATCTATGTTAAAACCAAACTCACACTGAAGCTTCCCTAACTGTCCAGTGGTTAAGACTCCATGCGTCCACTGCAGGGGGCACAGGTTCCATCCCAGGTTGAGGAACTAAGATTTCACATGCCTCGAGGCATGGCCAAAAACAAAAGAAACTCATGCTGGCATACAAGCACAATTCTGTGTGTGTCCAATCAGTGCATTTAAAAACGCAAAAGCAAAACAAAGATCTAGAAACATTTGCAGCCAGCTTCTAAATGGAGTTGCCTTTCACAGGACTCCTTTGAGAGTAAAGCTTCTATTTCTCATTTAAAAAACAAAACAAAACACTATTTGTTTTTAATCGAAGGATAATTGTTTTATAATATTGCGCTGGTTTCTGCCATATGTCATCTTTTCCCCATTTTTCTATTCCTTATACTCAGTCTCCAGTCTATTCATCTCGGTCTCCACGCTGTTGTTTCGTTGGCAAGTCATGCCCAGCCCTTCTGTGAGCCCTTGGACTGTCGCCCACCATACCTCTCTGTCCGTGGGACTTCCCAGCAAGGATGCTGGAGCGGGCTGCCGTCTCCTTCCCGAGTCGTCTCCACTGCTCTCACCTATCGCCCATGCTACGAACAACGTCTTTTCTGCTCTGTCTTTTGCCCTTTCTACCACAATCCCCTCTTCACAGTTGAGTTTTCAAACTGTAAATGCAAGCCTGATCCCACAACCCCCTGCTGGAAACCCCCAGATAGCCTCTCATAACATTGCAAACACACTCTCAACCCCATAACCGGACTGGCAAGGATCACCTCTCTGGGCCCTTCTCCCAAGTGAGTGGTTTAACTCAGAAAGCTTTTTCTGCCTCAGGGCCTTTGCGTTTTCCGTCTGGCCTGACACCCTCCCCCAAACAGCACTGCTGGCCCCTGTTCATCCAGGATCCTTTGGCTGGAGACACCTTTCCATCCGAGAAAGAGGCAGGTTTGGGACCATCAGTCGCTGCTCCAACATCTAGTACCTTTGGGCCATACTTCTTCCTACTCAGCTTCTGTAAAACACCAACCCTGAAGGCCTCAAGCGGATTGATGCTGTCCCCACCAAGGGTGCGTCTCCTCTCCAAGGGCTGAGTCTGCTCCAGGCAGCAGCAGAGCCTGTGCCGGGTGGCTGGCCCCACCCTCCCCGCACAGCCTCCTGCTTCTGGAGACAGAGGCTCAACAGGAGTGTGAGACGGAGGCTGGGCAGGCAGAGACCTTAGCATGGAGATCCTTGGGCCAGCTTCCCACTGGAGAAAGTGACAATGATCACTGGACGTTTGGTTTAATAGCTGATAAAATAAAGAAGAAAGAGAAGGAAATGGCAACTCACACCAGTATTCTTGCCTGGAAAATTCCATGGGCAGAGGTGCCTGGCAGGTGACAGTCTATGGGGTCGCAAAGAGTCAGATGCGACCGAGCACACGTATACGTAACAAAATCTATCCTTCTAAGGAAAAATTATTGAAAAATGATCATCCAATGAGTCCTAGGATGGGGAGACATAAAATCTCCTTCCTTGGTTTTCAAGCATTTTTGCAATTAAATCATGATTTCCAGTGTGAGCCTTAACTATGACCCAAATACCATTAATGCTAAATTTTATTCATTTTTATTTTTAGGTGTTCTTAATAGAAATTTTCATATCTAATGTTAGTAAGCCTAAATGTGTTTGGCTGAGCATAGCCTTTGAAAAGAGAGAGGGTTTTTCCCTTTTGTTTTTGTTTATAATTACTAACACATAACGCCTGTTTTACCA